AGCCTCTTAGTGGTCCAACTCACAGCCATACATTGCAAACTGGGAAAACCATGGCCTGAACTATACACACTTTGGGCAGGGTGGATGTCTATGCCTTTTAGATGCTTCTAGATTGCCATAGCCTTCCTCTCCCCAAAGAGCAAGCATCTTTAATTCTTGGCGCATCCCATTGAGGTGATCTTGGAGCCCAGAAAAATAAAATCTGTACTACCTCATTCTGCCCCATCTATTGCCAGGAATTGAGAGGGCCGGATGCCCATGATTTGGTTTTATTTAATGTTGAGTTTCAAGCCAACTTTTGCACTCTCCTTCTTCACCACATCAAGAGGCTCTTTGTTCCTCTTCACTTTTTGCCATTAGAGTGGTATCATCTGCGGATATGTGCTCCTTACTTGTGTTTATGATTCTCCACATTATGCATCTCTACCTGGGAATTTGTGACACTTCAAAACCATGTGCAAATAGAAATATGCATGAAGAATTGGCCGGTTATAATTTTCTTCCTTTTTTTCCTGCAATATTTGGGCATTCTTAGAACGTACAGAATGGACCATTCAGTATATTCAGAAGCAGGAATAAGTTAGAACAAAAACAGACATAGATATATATTTGGTGGGCTATTATGAATCAGATTCTACTCTAGAAGTAAGCTAGAGTTACAGAGTATTAATACATGTCAAAACGATATCTCTCCAATTGTATATTCAGCTATTTGATCTTTGTAGATCTTTAGCTCAACAGCTTCATAGCAGTGGATGCTGAACAATAGGGACAAGTCAGACAGGAAGTTGCAATCAATATTCCCACTTCACTTGACATTAGATCTTCAAAAGCATGATTTTTTAGTATATCTTATAGAGTTAATCTACCATTTATAAACTTTTACTAGAAGCACAATTAATTTAAAGGAGAAATTTATCTTTCTCTGGATAACTAGAATATGGTATATAGAGTATCTATTTATAAAACAGGTTTAAAAAAACATAGAGGAGAATTCCATTGAAGTTCAGGATTGTCTCCTCTAGCAATAATGGGCCCAGAATCTGAGGTTAGAGAGCTAGAAAAAACAAGGTGAGAATAAGGATGAAAATATCCCAGAGTTACATTTTTCTACATATTTCTCAATCTCAAAGAAAAAAATAAATAAGATAACATTTATTGTCATTTTTTTACTGTGGCACAATGGCACATATCAAAAAAGGAAATTTAGTGCCCGCTCTCAAAGTAAACACGTGTTACGATATAAATACACGAAAATACATGAAACAGTTTATTGAAAAAACAATTACAGGTTCTCCCCATCCAAACCTCATAGACTCCAAGAACTGACTTAGATTTTACCCTAACCAACCAGGAAAGGCGACATATAAAACTACAGTAGGTATCATTCAACATATTTATGACACAAGCTATGTCACTGACGTCACCCAAACAATTTCATATAAAAGGAGTATGAGATACCCAAGCTTGAGGTACACCATACTACAAGGACTTAGTGTGGCCTTTCCTCTCCCACAGCACCAACATGAATTCATACAGAATTAAAATATTTATTACAACAGACCAAAATTGCTTTTGCAGTGTATTGGAATTCTTTCATATAGTTATACGCAAACATTCGTTTAGTGTTTCATATCGCAGTTATGATTACAGATATGATAACAAATTTTCTTCCCATCATATTTGATGGAAGAAAAACTGTCAGTGATGCAATTAGATTTTTTTATTAAAGATTTCTAAAACTTTTCAACATAATATTATAGCAATAATCTTAGCACTGCAGAAAACAATACCAAAGAGTATTGCATTGTTTAAACCAGGAGTCCCCTACCAGCCTTGGCCTGTTCGCAAACGGGCTGTAGCGAGTGGCAGGCTTGGCATGCACACAGCCCCATCGCACGAGCAGCGGGCCTTGGTGCTCGCAGCCCCACTCACACGAGCAGTGTCCCAAGGCTTCTTTTTGTGGGAATGGAGCTGCCACATGCATGCACGCCAGCCTGCTGTCCGCCACAGCTTGGTTACCTCCCCAGCCAAGCTGCCTCGCTCCGATGCTCCAAAAGTGGAACGGTGAGAGCAGAGGCCTGAGTGAATGAGCACATCCGACTAAGCTTCGTTGACTCACCAAGGTTGCGTGCGCAAGATACTTAGAATTCGCTTTGGAACATGGGGCAGCCTCGTTGAAGGAGCATGAGACGCAACCCCAAAAAGGAAATTCTCCACACCAAAAGCTTTGCAACAGATGAAAGTCTTCGGGGTGAGCGGATTTCACGTGCTTCGGGGCCTTCATCCATTTATAAAGCTTTTGGTGTGGAGAACCTGAAGGAGCCAAGACGCACCCCACAGGCTCTTTTCTGTCTTGTGTGAGGGATGTACACGTTTGCTATGTGTGGGCCACCACTCGCATGTCTCGGTTCCCCTCTCCCCCAGATGGGCACCAAGCCGCAAAGTTTGGGAACCTCTGGTCTAAACAAACATTAGCATAATTTTTATTAGGAATGAATCATAATTTTATTTCTGTTACCAACATTTCTACACGACAAGTAAAAGCACATGAGCATCATATATAAATGAGAAACATCTGATTCCTTTCAGTACTAAATTGGTACATCATTTTTACTTGAAATATCCCAGTTATGTTTCCTGGGTCTTATGTTGGCTCCTTGTAGTATTACCATTATTCCTGAAAATCAGGAGGTCTGGTAGCTGCATTCTGACTAAATTAAGGCATAGTTTTGCATGAGCTACAGCTACTAAACAGGTGACTTTTATCTGTTATTGCCTTTTTTCCACATGATGTTTCACAAATGGCCAATTCCTGAAGTGATACTGAGATAATAAGAGTTCATTCAAATGAGCTGACTAATCGTTACGCTCACAAAGTATCTGATTTGAGGTCTATTAAATAGTTAGAACTCTCATCTTTTATATGAGAAATATGGAAGCATTTTCATTCTGATTTTTCATGCGTATTAAGCCTAAGTAATTTTATATTCTTGCTATCAACCTGCATTAATATGTCATGATGCATGAAATCTTAGAAAAATACATACTAGCTCTTTAGTAGTCTTTAACGCAACAGGACAATTGATAGGGCTGAAATCTTCTTTTATAAAGCTAAACAATTAATATTGTCGTGAAATATAAGAGCAAAAAAAAGTAAACTTTACTCCAAAGTATGCAAGTAGCAAGCTTACTTTCCTATACTGTAATTTGATATATACGTATTGTGCATTAATATTAAGCCCAATTCTTCTTAGTGTGCCTGCATTACGGATGTTTGACGATAATGTTGGCGATCCTGTTTATCTAGCCAGCCGCACGAAAAAGTGCTGCTGGAATTTGGTCCAAACCAATCCTTAGATTTGAAAGCCAATATGTTATTCTTACTGACTGGACCTTGTTTGCCTTCATCTTTCCCTGGAGGATTTAAATGGAGTTATGACGATATTTTCTGGGTGTCGCATCACATGTCCAAAAATATTCTAATATTCATTTTTTAATTGTTTTGATTAAAATATAGAAGAATTAGAAGGAAGGTAAAGGAAGAGGAAGGTTACTGACTTTATGTAGTATAGTGAATCACAAATTTTATGATAATTCTGTTTTACCAGACTCAATCAGTAGTAGTGGACATTGCTCAATCATTCCTCTCGCAGAGATAAGTAGATGGGTAGCAGTACATGCTTTATTATTGACTTGTCCAAATCTAGTACTGTATTTATGGAAACTGTAGGTATTCCTTCTATTAAGCTCAGAACAAACAACAAGAACAAATAATGATTTTAAATCTGGCTGGAAAGGCAGACAAAATCACCAACGCCTGAAGAAAAACAACTTATAGAAAAGTTTCCAGTGTCTCTGTTTATTCAGGTCAATCTTTTATTGATCAGTGTTACAAGAATATTGGTTGGGTATACTACCGTAGTCAGGAATACTTAGAAATCCTAATTTTTTTACTATGACATTACAACTTCTATCAATGTCTTTGTCCAAACATGCCAATGTTTTCATTCCATATTATATTGGGCCTAGCAAACTACCAAGTATTACTTTGCTATACATGTAAAACTGGTTTGCCTTCCATTGCTGATTATGTTGGAGTTTGGTTAAATTCCTCTTAATATATCAATATATTAAGCATAATTCAAAACCTTGGACATGTTGGATAGATAAAAACTAGAGTTAACATTAGAAATTAACAATTATTTGAAGTCTATAGGGTTCTCTATGCTGCATAAAAACTTGTGATATAAAATCTAATCATCTATTTTGTTCAGTCATGCAGGGATGAACTTATTGAGGATAACTGTGTCCTTGGAGGACAATCCGAAAGCAAAAGATGCCACAGTTCACCTTGCAGTATTAGCACAATGATTCTCCATTGAATGACGAGTGATAAATTCAGCAACTCTAATATAGCCCAATTTTTTTAAAAAAACATTCAAAACTTCAGAGTGTTAGCAGTAATTCCAGCATCTTTAGCTCCATGTTTGTTTTAAAAAGTTACATATGTATAAATTATCATGTACATTAATTCCCAAAGCAATTTTACAAAGCGTATGAAATTCAGTATATTTAAAAGAAGAGCACACATACACACACATATCTATAATATATAACATACCTGTAATAGGAGTAAAATAAATAATTGTTTCTTTACTGTAGTTAGAATTTATTCTAATTCGCTTGTCTGATAAGCTTCATGTATCCGTCTAAAACTTGCCCCGCTTTGGGTAGTGCTTTCAGCAACATTCTTTAGAATCTTCTTTCATCTATGTTATAGATATGGGCGGGGGGGAAAAAAGGGATGGAATAAAGCATGGCTTTCCTTAAAAATAAGTATAAAATATGTGTTTTAGTCCTGGGTTGGAATTTACAGAATGCACAGAATAGCATTATATTTATAATTTTCAGACTCAAAAGGCTTTGTTTTTTTCCCCTTGTGGCCGGCTCATAGATATGTACATAGGTTACATTGAAATTATTTTTTCTCTTCTTAGTACCCGTGAGAGCTAGCTTCCATTACTTCAAGCATTGTGAAAGCAACAGACGCCAAAAAAAATCCAGCTCCAGTCCTGCACGTGGTGGTGTAGGTCCAGTGTTCAGCTTTCCGAGCAATGCTGGATCTCCCAAACAAGCGAAACTGAAAAACTGCAGAAACCGCTAATATGCTTGCCAAGCTGCTGTTACAAGTGTTCGATAGTGCTTTCTGCCTCACATCTCTGTCTCATCTAATACACAAAGTTTACGACACTGAGATTGATGTTAGTGTTTGGAGGAAAAAATAAACAAGCATTTTAACTGCATAGTTTTTGTGTCACTTATTAACTGTGATGACCTAGATAGGCTAGGGGCAACAAAGAAAATCTTATTCAAAGGCATTGCTTTCACATTTTGCGGCTCTGTAGACAACAGAATAGGGACAATATGTATACTTTGCTTCACTTATTGTAATCTGAGGCACATTAGAAAGTCTAGACATGTAAATGTAATCTGAATTTTCAATGTCATGCAGTTGCCAACTTCATTTAAAAATGCCACAGATATGTGATGCCCCCACCACTGATTAAAACTGTTTCCAATATGTGATTTTTTTCTCCTTATAAACTGAGCCTTTCATGAAAGTAAACAGCTAAGGGTCACCTTGAAGGCCAAACAATGCAAAACAAATTAGGGAAGACCTCAGCTCTACTGTGAATATTTATATATCTGTCATTTTCACTGTGAAGTCTTCATGACCATGATCTTGCAAGAGAAATATAGCAAAGTAAAATGATTAAAAGAGGTCATGTTTTAAAAATGGGAAGAGTCGGAGCAATGGAGAAAGTTACCTATTTTTAGTTTATTTGAGTCTTTTAAAGTAAAAAGTAGATATTTGCTAAATCTTATTCTTACGTTACTATGTGCAAGGAGGGGTAAACTTGTAATAGATGGTGAGTAAAGAAAATACTACTGCTGGGACACATCATTAAGTGATAGGAGAGGTAACAACCATAGCCAAATATTAAATAGAAATAAAGTTAAGGCAAAACACTTTAATGTGTGTACCCAGCTGTACCCCCCCAAATATTACTAATATGGAAAGGAATTTGAACAATTATTTAAAAAAAGCTCTTTGTAATACACATAATAGTGGCTCTGAAGAGTGATTCTTTCTATGAGGACATTGTATATTTCTATTTTCTGTAGATTTTAGAGGCCTAAATTATGCTATGAAAGGAGATACATTGTAGAAAAAGATTAGAGACTAATAAATTTCAGGGTTTTATGGAATTATATTGCTTTGTAAGTAACATTGTATGGAAATACTAAGTTAAGAAAACAAAATCAAGGAATTTGAAATAAACATAGCTAGAAGTGTTGCTGATAATGCATGAGAGCTCACTTTCCTGAAATGAGCAGTGAAAAAAGACTCATTGATGCATACAAAGCTTAATTAGATTTTCATCATCAAAAAGCTAGGTCATAAAATACATTTACCTCTCTTATAAAATCACAAATTTAATAGCAGAAGTTCTATATGCATGATTATTATAATGTATATGTCTGCAATGGCTAATCCAAAGTAAATTTAATTTGAAAAAAAAGTATACTCAAATTAATGGTTTTAGAGAGGTTACAGTTTCAGAAGTAAACTTGAAATAATATAAAGGGCAAAAATCTGCTCATATTTATGCAATCCCACATTGCAGAGAATTGTTTTTCAAACAAATCATAATTGTGGTGCAAGTCAAACTATGAAATTCAGTAAGATCATGAGTAGTGTAAATTAATTATGCACATTACATTTACACTATTTGTCTTTTGTTCTTCAGGTGATATAATCAGATATACCATTAAACGGCAGTGATCTATCAGGATACTGTGGACAATATAACTTTCAAGCTTCCTTGTGTTCTGTGTTGTATTTGAAGATGCACTGAAACTGGTTTTGAACAGCTTGCAGGTGCTCTTGAAAATAGCTTTATAAATCTTAGACTACTTGGTTTTTAATTTACATTTGATCAATTATTTCATTGTAAATCTAGGGGTTTAGGACTATTGAAAAACATAGAAGTACGTTTTGCATTTATGAACAAGCAGGAACTGCTTCTTCCCTTCAGGTTGGGAAGCATTTTACCATGCTTCCTGAGCATTTCATTTTGAGTTTCAACCATTCTACACTTAGAACAAGCAGTACAGGAATAGGACAGCTACTTTATTTTAATCATGGGTAAGTTCCGTTCCTGCAAGAGAAAGGTTAGAACCCACTGCATGTAATGAAGAATATCTAGCTGCTTGATTCCTTGGTCGCCACTCCTAAATTTGAAGCTATGCTGGTTGCAATAAACCCAGTAAGGCATTGCTGGACAGAACTACTGCGACAATATAACATTAGCAGAGTACTTTAATAACATGCAGATTCCGGATAGGTTTTGAGGAAGAAATGTTATCATAATCAGTATAATTGAATTTGAAACATGGTTGATATAGATAGTATGAGAGTATTAGTTCAACCAAGTAAGACATTGTGGAAACAGATGCTTAACTTATGGCCAAAATCCAAAACACAGTATAAAATGAGGCAGATATTACCACATATGGAAAATTACTATTTTCATCATGAAGAATTATTGAAAGGAACCTGTAGCAATTATGCAAAACTAAAATCATACCATTGTATATTTACAAGATTATCTAAGTTGACATTAAGGGTCCCAAAGAAGAGATTTAAAAGGTCCGACTATGTTGGCATGGTTATTGGCCAATTAGATGTTTATGACTTTTATTAGCATTAATGTAATTCTTGCAAAATGTAATATAAACAGAAGTTACAAAAAGGAAATGTTCTTATGTGCATTATTTTTTAAGGAAAGCCATATTGCGATTATTAAGATATATATACCCACAGGCGTGGAGCTGAGTGTTGACGTGACAAACTGTTATCCTGTGATAAATTCAATGATCTTGTATAATGGTTGAGTATCCTCCTTACCAATCAGCTGAAAGGTTTACAAAACCATAATGCGTTGAATTTCTAGTTGTGACTGTAAAAGGGTCAAACACAAATCTGTCGGCATTTTGCACACTGAATATGTATTATTATAATACAACATATTACTTTTATGGTAAAAAAAAGATTTTTTTACACATATAACTACCTCCATGAATTTGATGAAATGCAGCAACATTTTAAAAAAGGTAATGTTAAGAGCAGCATTTAAAACTTCATGAAGAAAAAAAGGCCATGATGTTCTCTCGTGTGTCAGTGCTTGTGTATGAAGTCATTTTTCATTGCCATGATTTCCTGTTACTGTGTTAAATTGGCTTTGACTTTAGTAGTACAAGTTTTTATAAAAAGTTGTAGAATCTTTTAGATAAACAAAGGGAGATTCAAAATTGTCCTTTGTATTTCCATTTCTGTTGAAATGTTGACCTGATAGAAAATCAAGTGTTGCTGGTAATTTAGAAGCCTGTTAATAGATACAGTATATGGAATATGACTGGCAGTTTAGGGCTTAACGGGAGACATGCCGGCTATTTTAACTGCCTCCATTGGAATGCTTTGGCTCCCCTTCTGCCCCATTTGTGGAGAGATAGCATGCCAGAACTTAACTTATATGCTTACAATTAATTGCCCATTGGTGTGATACATTTCTCAGTTTTTGATCTTAGACATCTTGGGGATTGAATGTTATAAGTTGAGTCCTTTTCACCATGATATAAGTAGTCTGATGTCTTGACATTATGACATCGGGAATGTAGCCACAAAATAAGATGAAGCCACTGGTTTTCATTTTAAGATAATAATCAGGTTGTTTGCTGTTGTTTTCTTTTTAATGAGGAGCAGTTAAGAAGTACATAAAAAAATCTAGAGAAAGGCGGAGGATCAAGAGGCATTTAAATGGCAGTTGCCTTACAACAACTATATTTCTGATGTGTTAGGCATACAGATTGGATTTTTCAGTTCAATGCAGAATTTTTAAGGAGATAATTGGAGGAACATATTTTCAGAATATTTTAAGCTGTTCAGATAGTACTGGCTTTATTATATTCATGGCCATGGACACAGTGTGCCTGAAACATATCGCAGTCATACAGCAAAGTTATCCAGATTCTGCATCTGCAATCTGAATGCCAATTTGCTCCTGTGCTCTTTTGTTAACCTGAAAGGAGAACTACAACTAGACCCTTCCTAATGACAACCCTGTGCGGATCCATCCTGGGTGAAGGGCAAGAAAAACCAAATGCACAGATATAGTATAGGGGTACCTTGCTCAATAGTAGTAACTGTGAGAGGGACCTCGGGCTCCTAGTGGACAATCACCTAAATATGAGCCAGCAGTGTGCTACAACTGCCAAAAAGGCCAACACAGTGCTAGGCTGCATTAACAAAGGGATAGAATCAAGATCACGTGAAGTGTTAATACCACTTTACAAAGCCTTGGTAAGGCTGGAATACTGCATCCAGTTTTGGTCACCGCGATGTAAAAAAGATGTTGAGACTCTAGAAAAAGTACAGAGAAGAGCAACAAAGATGATTAGGGGACTGGAGGCTAAAGCATATAAGGAAAGGCTGCTGGAATTGGGTATGTCTAGTTTAATGAAGAGAAGGACGAGGGGGGACATGATAGCAGTCTTCCAATATCTCAGGGGCTGCCACAAAGAAGAGGGTGTCAAGCTATTTTCCAGGCACCTGAAGGCCGGACAAGAAGCACGGGTGGAAACTAACCAAAGAGAGAAGCAACCTAGAACTAAGAAACTTCCTGACAGATAGAACAATTAACCAGTGGAACAACCTGCTTCCAGAAGCGGTAAATGCTCCAACACTGGAGGTTTTTAAGAAGAGATTGGACAGCCATTTGTCCGAAATGGTATAGGGCAGTGGTTCTCAACCTGTGGGTCAGGACCCCATTTGGGGTCGAATGACCATTTCACGGGGGTCACCAAACCATGCTGTCCGCCATTTTTTTCCGTTTTCCCTAGCTGTCCTACTCCCTCTTATTGGTGGCCACACCCACTTGGGGGTCACCACAACATGGGGAACTGTATTATGGGGTCACGGCATTAGAAAGGTTGAGAATTACTGG